TGCTTTTTAATTCAAATTAAGTTTATAGTGTCAAATCAATGGCGTCTTTTTTACTTACCTGTTCAGAATGGGTTTGCAGTTCATGAAAGTGAATGGTGACATCATGGTCTCTCGTCATGTCTTTTCAACATCTGTTGTGCTGCAAAAACCAAGATGGCGACGGACTGGAACCTCAAGCTTTTAACAGCAAGCCTCAAACAAATGACAATGGCGCTACGTTGTTTATCATTACCAGTTCATGTGTGGGAAATAACGTCAGCATTTACATTCCCCTCATGCTTTACGTTTACGGCCCATAAACAGGACTGACCATCAACTACAAAGCCTTTCAGCCACATTGAAAACATCACAAGAGGGAGAGCAACGGAGCACAGGAGCATGTACACCGAGGAGTGCCTGTAGAAAGCCTAAGCGTGCACAGGGGAGCGAGTAGAAAACGTGCTCAGCGCATCGTGTGCAACATCAAGCAGCATCTCAACGGCCCGTTCTCTGGGGAGAGGGGACGGGCCTCGGCACCGACCGCTGCTCAGGGCGCCGTTCGCCCTGCCGGGAAGCCCGGGCATCTCTCCCTAATTAGCTAATCCCATGACGGAGTCAAACAAAGACGGCCGTCTGGAGCGCCTGCACCCCCCCCCCCCCCCCCTTCAACCCACCCCGGGGCCCTCGCGCTCCCGGCTCCAACATTGATGCGAGCCAATGATGAAGTAAAGCACCACTGACAGCAAGCGGCCCGCTATCTTTCTCCAAACACAAGAAACCTTGAGGACACAGATTCTTTTACAGAAAAAACAAACACACAAACATTGTTTCACTTATTTGCGCTGATCTCTATTTACGGTCCCACTTGAAATGATGAAGGTAGTACAGATGCTTTGGTGTTTCACGCGGGCCGCTGAGGGAAGCACCTGGTGCCTGTGCGAGGAGGAAGTGTGATGTGATACGTGAGAAGATGCGTGGCCCCACTAGCGCAAAGTGAGTTATTGCAACCAGTTGAAACCCGATATCGTGCGCAAACACCTGTCGGCACTTTTGCTGTGTTAGCACCGTTAGCTGTGAGCCGTCGACTTGTCGGAGAGGAACAGAACTGCTCCCAATCTCCCAACATCAAGCACCTTTAAATTATTTCTATCCCGCCATGCCAGGGCCACACGGGACGAAAAAAAAACCTTTAAAATGTAGCGTTGTTGCAGAAAAAACTCAGGCTAATGCTAATGTTAGCCAGTCTCATGGCAAACACATTGTGCTGGTAAATGTAGTGGAGCGACCGCGTGTTGCAGATGACACGGACACGTTATCCATCATTCTTTTAGCACAGTCAGCTCGGCTCATTCGCCCGTTAGCGCGCCGTGTCTGGCGGCATGTGTTCAATACTCTGTTTCAAACTGAAAAGAGGGACTTTTATTCACTTCTGTCTCCAAACTGCCTTTTCTTGTGTGATTCTGCTCCTCTGAAGATGGTTATTGTCATCACGTCGCCGTTGTTTTTCTTCCATTTCCTCAGAGAAAGAGCCCATATTTCTGTTGAAATTGTACTTTTAAAACCAGAAGTGGTCCCTCGGCTCGAACGCTTCTCGCTCCTCGCCAGTGAGTTGTGCTTTAAAAAGGAAGTGACAGCTGCAAAAGGCCATTTCGAACCTCCTGGGAAAACGATAAGGTTGGAGAGGAGATGCGATGCTGCCCCTCCTGTAAGTAATGCAGACCATAAAACCTCGCTCAGGAGGCTCCCTCCTGCTTGTTGCAGTACTCCCTCTGATACGTTCTTCTGTGCACGTTAAACGTGTGCATCAGCAGTCTCAGTGAGCATTTCACTCGTGAACAACAATAATAATTCTGATTTACTGGTTCAAAATCATCAACAGGACACTTATTATATAATACTTGCAAGTAGGAGACACAGCGAATGCATGAAGGCTCCTCAAATGGTTTTCTTTATAGTATAGAAGGGTCTGGACACAACCTTGAGTATCTCAAAAGATTCGTGTCCATCATAATGAGCCTGGGGGCCCCCGTGAGAATAGAGGGTGTCAGTGAAAAGCTGCCCCCCCCCCGATCCGATCTCATTGACCTCTGGGGCGGCCACACACACACACACACACACGCGGTCCACATGTTGTCCCACCGCGGGCATCGCCAGGCCGCATGTATGTGGTGAAGGCCACTTTCATGAGGAAACAGCAGCTCCCCGGGGGGGGGGGGGGGGGTTCTGGGCTCCTCAATGAGCTTCTTTCCCTTACATCCAACTACCAGCGGTGCTCCTCATTATTCCTCCTTAATGTGTCGGCAAATAAAACCCCGACGGCACGCCGCCCACCCCCCGGGACACAGATCTCAGATCTAATTTGTCTTGATGTTGGCGCTTTCCTTTAATCTCTGTGAATCAAGTCACTCGGCTCTAAAAGTTCTGCCAGTGGGACTGACGAGGAATACTGCGGCGTTGTCGCTGCTGTGACTCAGGCGCCGCTCTTTTTATGTCCTCTCCAAATATTTCTCGTTGCCGCACAGGAACCCTAACCCGGTTCCTCAAGCTTTTGGAGGCCCGTTGCCGGGAATTTGTGGAATTTTAATTGTATCGTCAAATGACCGAGACAACGAAATAAACTACCTGGAAAATGCAAACAGCACAGAGATGTCGATAAATATCAATGAATGATACTAAATGCTGAACGCAGACTTTAAAGTGTGCCAAGATGGAGATTAACCGTGTAACTGCATTGCATTGTAATTTGTGCTCAGCTACATCCTCACATATGTGTACGTCATATTAAAGAAACGTCTTCTGTACGGTTCATATTCTTCTTGCACATTGTTTGTCGACGTTTCCACATTCCTGCGACAATTTTGACATTTAAGACTACAGCTCTCTAGTTACTGTGTTTTTGCAGTATCCTTTGTGTTTCCATTGCACATTTCGGCTCTCTTGCAGTATTGCACCAACACGGCAAAACTAATTCCAAAAACCTAACAAGTTCCTTTTTCTTGTGATCCGAGGGCACGGGGTCCGTGTTAGACGCTGCGTGGGAAAATGGCCACTCAGCCCTCTCGCTTCCCACAGAGGTCACGGTGACATCTGACCGATTACCGCGGCTTTTCACTGAACACACCACTGGTCCGTCAGCTCATTTTCCCGGGATGAAGATCTGGAGTTCACGCTCCTCTCCCTTGTCTGTGGAGGACTAATAAACAGCCACTAATGGGGAATTAGTCTACATCTCATTGAGTTTTTACGCCTGCCGACTTCAAAGAGATGACGCTCTGCATTTTGAAGCTTTGCAGGAAATCTGAAGTCTTGTCGCAGGATTATGAGCCACGGAACACTGCTCCTATATTAAGCCTCTGTGCGCAGCCTAATGTCTCAGTAGAAAGCGTAATTGAATAGAGCTTGGTTAAAAATGGATTTTAATATGATTCTATTCCTTCTATTACTTGCTTTTCTGCTCCTTTTTTCCTCTTCTTACCTCTACTGCTGTTCCTCTGTTACCAAAGTCACAAGTGTGAGCACCCGGTTTCAACAGCTGGAGCTGCACTTCTACCGCTTGGGGAGAGAGTTCAGAGTTCAACGAGCTGCGTCTAAATCCAGCAGCCTCGCTCCCGCCTAGTTCCCCGCGGAGGGTTCAGATGTTCAACCTGTGAGGTGATCGATGGCTCCGTGGTGCAGTGGAGTCTCTTCATCGCTCATCCTCTGTTTCAACTAGTGCTTCCAACCAATCAATTACTTCTTTCCTCCTGAGCAGCTGTGAGATTGTGGATGCTGGTCTGAAGGTTGTCACCTTCTGCCTTTTTTTGTAACCTCCGTCATGTTTTATCAGAGAACCAGCTGGTGGCCAATCGGCACGTTAAGGATGGAGCGGATGGGGTTCGGTATGTGTCATATCGGCACTGTAGCTTATTTCTCCGAGCAAGAGAATTCGACTGTTGTACCAAAATACAGCATGAAGGACTTCCTGTTGGGACCTCTTCCTTCATCACCAGTAACACCGGCAATGTAGTTTATCTTGAGTCATTCCTTCATACACACCGGTATTGACAACAAGGAAAAAAACTAAATATTTGACACATTTAAAAGAAAAAAATGTACCAATGTTCCACACAATTTCATGAAGCTCAAGTCTGCAATTTTCACAGAATCCTTTTCACAAATAGACAAACCAAACTAACTGGAAGGAGAGAACAGACCTCTCCTTCAAATCCATCTCCCATTAAAATTGGGCCCGTTTTTGTTTCCACAACCTTGTTATTACAAGTCAGCTGCACACAGAAATGGATGTCACCCCACAGTTCTCTAACCATTAGTTTCAACTGAGATGAGATCTCAGTCTTTAGAAATCATCCTCTGGGGGCCATGAATGGCCAGGAAGAAAAAGGATCCATCCAATACCTTTTGAGTCTGGACAAAACTGGTGGACCAATCAGCTCTAAAGACACACTGCCATCAGTGCCAAGCCACAAAATGTCCTCCACCTCCACGCAAACATACAGCTGCTAGTTGAGAATATATTACTGTTGCTGTGCAGTTTATTTACTGAGAGCTATGTAACATTTGCTGAATATAGAATGTGCTGCCCCTGTACCAGTTTCCCCATTTGGCGTATTTTGATCAGTTTGTATGTCTACTTAGAAACTGAAACTCTGTTATGTCTGTCGAGGACGAGGCAGAGAACCAACAGAGGCTACAAGCCGTCGCGGTGAGTCCGTCCTTCTTTTACCGTGTCTTTCACATTCGCCCCTTCAGGCCTCAAGACCGCCTCGAACTTTCACCTCACGTCAAAAACAACCTCACAGGCCAATAAATCTGTGCAGTGAAAATGGGTCTCTCCCCCCCCCCACACACACACACACACACTTCCTCTAGCGATGCGGGCCCCGATTGGGCCTCGGCATGCTCGCAATGTGCTGCGGCGCTCAACTATTTCCCCCGGCATCCCTGCGCTGCAGCAGCTGCATATCCCCGCTTTAATCTGTCGGCCACGTCTCCTAAAAATACCCCCCCCCCCCCTTCAGTCCTCTGTGCTTTGGTACAGAAGACCTCCTTGTCTTTAGGGAGCAGGACTGCAGAGGGGTGTTACTAAAGAATTATATTAAAAAGCGGGCGTAACCCACCATCATCAGCACAGTGATCTTGGATTAAGTTCAATCTGTTGTTAGTGGAACAAACAGCTGTCGCTTAAATTCTGGTTAAGCGGCTTTTTTGTTGGAGCAAGTTTTCCTCGCCGCTGAGAGAGAACTTGAAGGAGGATTTATTATAAGTGAGGGGTAAGTAGTGATACTTAGTGATTACTTTACGCTTTTTCTCCTTTTTTTGTGCGCAAACGAGTTCCAAGCAAAGTAAATGTAACGGCAGCGTAGAAGATCCGTGTTCTTCATTTTCTCCGATAGCCGCGGCAGGAGAGCGAGGTTGGGATTATTGTTACAGACACACAGTTATTACACTCTGCTTTCAGCTTTTTTTCCACAGTGGCGTCACTGCCCCGGTTCACAACCACCTCGTAGGAGTGTTGCCGCTGCCTACTCATCGTCCCTCCGCCGATACGCCCCAACAACCGGTTCCCTTCTGAGACTCTTCTTTCTTTCTTCACATTCCCTCTTTGAGGATTTGTCTCCCTTTGTCACCCGGAGAGGCATCGGAGGCAGCAAGAAGAGGAGCGGCTGACGAGAATCACTTATTTGCTCTCTTAGGGGTTGATAAGGATGAATTTGAATGCTCAGGTGAATTTCTCACACACAAAAATAGCAAAATGTTCCTGAAAAAATGAAGAACTCTTTTGCTGTGAAAATAGACGGCTGGGATCCAGTTTTGTCCATCGTCCTTTCCAGCTGTTTCTCATTAAGGAAATATGTCCCGCCCTCATGTCACGTCTTCTGACTTCTGCCAAGCGAGCCGACGCCTAGCTCTAATGTTCTGGTCATCGTGACTTCATCAGGAGTCTGATTTACTCACATTACGTCCGTCCGGTCCCGGTCGGGCCAACAGAGCGCTCATGGATACGCCTCCCGCCCGAGGCCGGGCGATGACTGACTGACTGTGGACGTCTGGGGGGGGGGGCAGAGGGCTCCGAAGCACAGACACCCTTTCACTGTCACTCCCACAGACCCTGCTCGTCCTTGGGCCCTCGTTGGGCCCTCGTTGGTGCCTGCGGAGGAGGCAAAGTGGCGCTGCCAGCTGGCCGGCTGTGTGTCCGCTGAATGCTTGTCAATGCGCGGCAGTGGTTGTTTCCGGCAGCGTTGCCGCTAACAGGGACGGTCCAATCGCTGCTTAGTATCCGCGTCCCGGCGCAGCTGGTCTGTGACGTCTTCCCTGCACATGCTGAAGGAGTGTAGGGGGGGAGGCTGTAGTGAGCATTATACTTTGCATCCAAATCATGATGAAAACACAGATGTGCTGCGTGCATCAGAGCACACATGTGCACTTTCAGGTTCTGTGGTTTAAAGGTGAAAATAAACATTTGACAAACACAAAGTATGTTGGCTTAGCAGCCAAACAGGGTTACATTTTTCTTTGTCATACTATGTTAAGTGGTTCATGCACTCACTAGCTCAAGATGGCCTCTGCATGGATCATCCACAGTTGACGAAGATGCTTTTTGCTTGTTGCGGTTTCTTCTCACGTACACAAACATGTTTGCAACAACTAGTCCCCAAGAGTCGTAGGTCGAAAGACGCTAAATAGGTCTGACGCAGCATTATGGTGTCATTTATTATCATGCCCCAGATGTGTTACATCCTTTTAAGCCTCGCGCTATGGTGTTTGCAGCCATCAAGTGCATATTTAAGAATCCATTCGCAGGGTTTTCACTTTAAAAACGACAGCTTGGCGCATTAAAAAGTCGTCTAAGAGGACGCGCATTTTGACCGAGCTGTGGAGCTCATGTTGGCCAAGTGAAGCAAACAGGCTCCGGCAGAGAAAAACCAAATGCCAGTGTCAAGTGTCCCTTTGACTTCACTGAGAATGACTGAATTGGGCCCCGTTGTCCCCCGTGAGCGCTCAAGTGGGCCGGCGAAAGAGGGCACGGAGCGAGGAATGAGCCGAAGGCGCGGCGAGCGCTGGCCGATCGATGCCGGGCCGCCTCGACCGTCCGTTCTGAACCCTGTTCCCCTGATGTCCCCTTGTGTCTCCTTCTGTCCCCGTGTGTCCCCTTCTCCCACACAGAGGAAGCACTTGAGGGAGACGTGGCTCAGCGAAGCGTCTCCAGCCCTTGACGAGCCGTCGACGGCGTGAGCCGCGCTTCATCCAGCTGTACTTAATTCAATCACACAAGTGTGTGAGACATTCATGATGGGGAAGCAGGGTGGGGGGATTTGGGACTATTTAGTCTGCACGGATAACAGATATGCAAGGCGGGACAGTATATCGGTCACAGACACACTTCTACGTCGACTGTGACGAGCCATGTGTGATGGATTACAGCCAAGCAGAGACACACACACACACACACACACACGCATTTGCCTTCTTGTAGTCTTGTAGTCAAGAAATGGTGTCGCTGTGCCGATGTGAGTCAGGAAGAGAAGTCAAAAGACGCCCGAGGACGAGGAGGTGTTAATTACCACAAACAATCCCTTAACCAGCTAGTCAATGTGCGACGATATATTATATAAAATGACTTCCTGGTAGGACAGTAAGTCAAAAGGATAAATAAGCGCATTTCTTTGCCAAAAATGCCAAATGAAGAGTTGATACACTAGAGCTCAAAATCCAAGATGGCTGCTGTCCATCAACAGTAAAGAGCTGTAGTAAAATGTCTTCATTAAGCACCTGGTCTCATTTGTGTCAGTGATGCATAACTTCTATCTGCGGGTACGTTGCTACGAAAACAAACAATGGCAAACATGGGAAGTTTCTGTGAGTTTTGTTATTTCAATTTTTAGCAAATAATTACAAGGCAACCTCATACAAACTGTTTTTTTAATCACATTTTCACTGTAGTTTAACTTAAAAACCTCCTGTACCACATATATGTTTTTTTTCAGTAAATAAAGAGGATTACTTCTGGATCCAAATGGCCCAGAGGACGTTCCATGAAAGTGGGCAAGACGGCCGATCAGGTGAGGCCAGGGATCAAACTTCACTGTAATTTACCAGGAATGCATATGTTCAGTATTTAATACGGCGTGATTACAGGGCTGAAGCCCACAATGAGGATCAAATGGGGAAAGCTCTCATCATTTCTGAGTCAAGTGCCGGTGATTTAAGTTCCCTGCTGTCCATATTGGCTGCTGTATAACGTCTAAGTTCATAAAGGCTCTCAAGAATTTGACTGCAGCTCTTTGTGATTATTTGACATTATGTTGGAATAAGGACTTTATATACAGTATACATATATATATATATATATATATGTACCTACCTACCTGCAAACATGGGCAAAATTTAGGCTACAGAACAATGTTCCTTCCCCCCTCTTGCAAAATACGAGCTCTTTATTTGCCTCTTCAGCCTCAGGCTGAGACTTAACGACAATCAGGTGAGACACCTGAGAAACTTGTTATATTCTGCCGACTTTTTCAGTTACATTTGTAAATTGGTTTCATGCGCTCTGGAGGGTTCATTGCATCTGTATATAGTCTGTAGTGCCGGCTCACATTAGTTTCACAAAGATCCTGCTCTGACCTGCCGTTAGCCTTTGTACCTCCCACCCTTCAAACTATGACATATTAAGGACTGTTGGGTTGAGAATTTTTACATTTTATCTTCAGAATCTGTTCTCATTCTGCAGTCCTGGGAATGTTGGAGGTGCAGGTCGAGAGAGACCCTAAGACAGGCGCCACCTCCATCAGGTCGGTGGCGCCTGTGTCCACGGCAACCGGCGAGGCGATCTTCGACGACGGCAGAAGGAGCATCCACGCGGTCGGCGGGTCGGGGAGCCAACCCTCGACCAAAGAGCTCGGCCACATCCTGAGCATCGTCGACGGGGTCGGGATGAAAGCGCTGCTGGACGACATGGCGCTCACGCCAATCCAGGAGGAGGCGGAGACGCAGAGCGGAGAAGCCAGCACAGCTCCAGGGCGTCCAGTCGTGTCTTTTTCGACCCTTCGTGCACCAAAGGAGGACAACGCGCAGTTTGGAAGCTCTGGAGGCGACGGCTTGGAAGCCGAGCCGGGGGTAGAGCAGCGCTCTGCGAGCATCCGACCCGAGGAGGAAAGAAAAGGGTACCTGAGGATCTCGGCGCCCCGAGACACCGCGGGAGAAGTGGGCAACGTGGAGGAGCTGAGGTTGGAGGACGGCCCGGTCACTCTCATGTTCCTGGGATACATGGACGAAGACCAAGGAGACGGCCGGGAGGAGCATCAAGGCATGTTGACCGCGGAGCACGTGATCATCACCGAGGAGGGAGAAGAGCGCGTCTTCGAAACCGAGACGTCCGCTTCACCTCAGGAAGGGAGAGAGTCCCGCGTGTCTCAGGACGTCCCCCTGGATGGACACAGGGCCGGGATTGAGGTCCAGGGAGAGGCAGGAGATAATGGGGGGCAGAAGTCGGCCTCCGCCGGTAAAGCCACCACCAAGCCCAAGACCTGCCAGTGTTGCAACGTCATGTAAGAAGAGATCAACCTCCATCGTGTCATCGGTGCCTGAAAGTCGACGATGGCGCATTGGAGTAGAGAGGGTGCGCCGTGAACCGCAAGGTTGGCGGTTCAAGCCCCGGCTGCTTCATGTCCCCTGTCGAAGTGTCCCTGAGCAACACCTAACCCCTAATTGCTCCCCGGGCAAAAATGTATAAAGCCATGGGTTCAAAATGCAGTCGCTTTGGATAAAAGCGTCAGCTAAATGACCTGTAATGTAAAGGACTGGTATGGAAGACGAGACCACCACATCATGTTCTCTCAACGACGTGGCTTTACTTTACCGTCGCATCCCGTTGTGGGTCTTTCATAGCAGGGAAAACGACCCGCGAGCCACTTCCTCCCTCTGGTGGACAAAGCCGAGAATGTCAACATGTCCTTGCATAATTTGCATCAAATGTCTCCAGTCCCTCAGGACTTCTTCTGTGGCTTTCCATATGTTTAGCTGTTGTTTTTCACTACCAATGTAAAAAAGCCAAAGAGCAGAACAATCACATAATACTACCATCCTTTGACCTTTTTTAATGGAATTGGAGGAGTTCGTATTCTACGACTAAACCTTTTTTTGAATGTTGAGTTTCATCTACTAGACTGGTCCTTTGGACGAGATCCACTCAGCCAAACCACTTCACACTTGGCTTCCTCGGCTCCTGAGCAAACCCGACAGGTATGAAGTCGAACTAATCAAGGTTTTTGCAGACAAATTCCAGGGCAGGCAAACAGAGAGACGGCCCTTTCATTTCTGTTAAATTCGATTTAAGCAAAGCTCCCATTGTAACGCTCTAGATTGGGTTCATTCATGCGTCGGAAAAAGGGGGGGTTGGAATAACTAAGTTCTCGGCATTGTGGAGAAAAGCTTTCAAACTGCACTCAGGCAATAGTTTAGGAGGATACGATCTGCAGCGAAAATATTTCTAAGCATTTAAATTACCATTGAAAGTTTGGGAAAAGGAATTTTTTCAAAAAAATGGAAGACTTCCGAATTTGTCATATGTCTGAATATTCATGTCTGCTACACAGCAAATATCTGCTAATAAGTATGTTGTTATTTATATCACTGTCGTTTTGTATTCAATTGATTTATTGAAGTGGATGTCTACTGGAATATATGACAATAAATCTGAATAGAATTCTCCAAGTTTCTCTGGAACTGAACACAAAAATCTGCATGCAAACACACTAAACGATGCGGAATATGAACACGTGAATAACAGATGGACCGCTTCTCAAAGAAGGACTTAGTTTGCTCACATGACGCAGAGGACAGGAAGGTACAGGTGTTACATGTAAGCAGATCATATTTCCATCGGGCACTGGAGGGGACGGCAGCACTACACTCAGGTGGGGTCTCTTCCTTCCGCATTTCTACATTATGTGTTGATATGATTATGAGACACGGTTAAAGAGCATGTCATAATCTTCCAAATATGTTGAGAATATAACTAAATATTAGTGAGAGTGATGGAATTTGTACGTGTGCACGACAGCCATTTATCCCCAAATCTGGAAAATGGGATTCGTGGAAGAGCATGCACAATGTCGCTTAGATAGGAAAGCTTACAGCTTATAGCATTTTTCATAAAAACACAAAAGGTTAAGCTCATTAATATGTCCCGTTGCATGGTGCGGATGTTGGTAATCCTGAAACGCAGAGTTGCTGGCATTAAGCCCCTCGATGCAGGTGTAAATATAGACTCACAGCTCAGGGAACCAGATAATACCCGGATGATATTCATATTAAGGGGGACATATTTTTGTCAATTCACTCAGCGTACGCCGCGTAGCGTCTGAATGCACAGAGCGGGCCCCGTAAAAGACGCCACGGCCTACTGACAGCACAAGTCACCGCGGCTCAGGGGCCAACGGACATTATTGAAGCAGGATTCTCAACAGGCCAACCGGTGAGGTGGCGAGAGCCGCTGGGGGCCGGCGGGCACTGCACATGGTGTGCGTGTGCCAAAACAGACGGAGCAAAGCCGATTACTCCTTCCCTTTGTCAGCAGAATGGGCTGTGCTAGGTCACAGCGGGGGAAGGGGGGTGAAGCGGTCACTGAAACGGCCCGCGCCAAACGAGAAAGAAGTGATGTAGCTGTTTTCAAACAAGGATTCTGAATTTCTGCTGTCGTCAACTGAGGTTTTGTTTGGGAATACGCACATTCAACACACGGCTGACACCATATAGGACTTGGTGCCCTGAGGAGATCTGTTGTTAACATTCCGTCTCGCTTGAGAAATAACATATGCAAGAGGCCCATACATGTTTTACAGGCCAATAGGATGCAACGGTATTGTTGAATGCAATTCTTCAGTATTTGCCAGATTCTTCCAGTTTATGTTCAAAAACCTACATTGTGCACCTTCAACCTGCACCTTCCCCGCTGCTTCTTGCAATGTCACTGCCACCTTTTAGTAGAGGAAATCTGACAAACTATTGGTAGGAATATGTGCGTCCATGTTATATAATTACTATCATTGTTATAAAGAAAATAAAACAGACCACTAATGAAAACGTGACTCGGCAGCTACTTGTGGTGAGAAACGTGTGGTCTGTCACCTGATCGCAACCTTTTCCTGCGCAGTGTCTGTGTCAAACAGTAGTTTGAGACCCCCAGTGCTATATTTTTAATGGAACTACATGCTACACATAGAGCGAGATAAGCCTTGCAGTTGCCGTGCCCAGTCGTCTGCAACACAGAGCAAAAATATGATGAAAAGATAATATAGTCTTTATCTTCACATGTAAGTCCATTTTTTAAAGCACTCTTTAATTACTGTTATTATGGACAGATGATAACTGAAATAATAACAGTGTGAAGTGATTGATTGTCAACTTCGTGCACTGTGTGTGTTTCAACCTAAAGGGGAAGAGAGAGAAAAAAAACGACCTTTGTGTGTGTGCTTCAAAGGCTTGTAACCATGGAAACCCCCAAAAACAGCCCCAGCCCTCGAATCCCGGTGACCCGTGATGATAGCGGCCTGTGGATGAGGATGGACTCCGACCCTCTGATGGACCACACAGGGGGCCGCGGGCGGAAGCCCCGAGAGGCGACCACGGACCCCCCGCGTGGCCCGGCAGTGATCACCAGGTATTACAGTGTGATGGACGACGACGACAACAACTTTGTCCCACCTCCTCCGCCTGACGCGGCTCCTTCTCTGCACGCAGATGCTCAGGTGAATAATTCCAACGTGACCTTTACAAAGGGGTCAGCTGAAGATAATCCCAGTGGCTTAGGTTGGCATCCTGGGGAGAGCCGGCTAATGGCAACGCAGAGCGCAGCGGAGCAAGTGAACACCGAGCAGACGTCTACGGACGGCGCATCCCCGCCTGAAGTCTCCATTCTACCTGAAGAACAAGACCTGACATCAATGGAGGGAGCATGTTGTGATCCAACCCAAAGACGCCATCATGGCAGAACAGCGGGCGGCGAGCAATCGGAGCCTGAGGATATTTTGAGTGAGGGGCAGAAACGGTGCAGAGAGGCTCAAAGCAACAAGAACCCAAAACAGGTACCTTCAAACATTGGGGAGAACTCTGAAAACACACAGAATTTTGACAAAGAGGGAGAATCAATGTGTGGCTTTGCTAAGACGTACTCAGCCGTGCAACATGCTGACTTTGGTGAAGATTTTGAGTCCAATGAGCCTCCGGAGCCCTCCAAAAGACCCCAAAACCCGACGGACGCAGCGACCTGTCGGCCGTACGTACCAGAGGTCCCAGTGGAGGAGTCCAATGGACACTCCATCTCCGACGGCTCCGAAGAGACAGGGCAGGGAGATGGGAGCAGGAGAATATCTAATGGTATCCAGCAAGGAGAGCAGCTGCTTCAACGTCTGCAGCTGGTCCAGCTGCGTCAGGACGTGTCTCTACCCGGGAGCCCTGACGCCTCCCAGCAGGCTGTCCGAGAGACACGAGGCGAGACAAGGAGCGCACCTGGGAGTGACGTAGGCGATTCGAAAGCAAGGGGAGCCCACTTGACGGGTGAGAATGAGGAAGAAGAGAGCGGGGGAGAGAGATGGAAGCCGATGGCGGTGGAAGGGAGTGGGAGGTATGCCGTGGAACTGGAGGCTGGGATGTCTTTGTTAATGCCGACGGTGCAGTCAGGGCAGCACAACACCACCATGGCAGAGGCAGGAGACTATGAGGAAGATCAAAGGGACCCCGGTGAAACCTCCTCCACCCAGAATCCCTTTCTCTCCACCTGCCACCGACTCTCGGCCTCCGAGGCCTGGGTTGAGGGGCGGAGCCCCAGCGAGGCCCTGGGGAGCCTGCAGAGAGCAAGCGGCATCTTCGACGTCGCCGATGATCCAGACGTGCTGGAGATCCCCTTCAAGAACCATATTACGCTCGACCCCTTCCCCACCGAGGATGGCGGCGACTGGCAGTTCTCCTCGCAGAAGATGAAAAAGGAGATAAGCCAGGAGACGCGGAGGGAGCTGGTGCTGGTCAACCAGGGCAAGATCCCGGGGGGGTACAGCAAAGGAGAGGTCCGCCAGCGGAAGGAGACAAAGCTCCTGTTCGAGGCCTTCCAGCAGATCAACACGGATGGTCCGGCAAGGCCCCCAAGACCCATCGTGAAAGGTCACGTTTACCCCTCTGTGCTGGAGCGCACCCGCAGCATGGAGATGCTGTCGCTCAAAAGTCGGCCCGTCTGCAGAACACAATCCTTCCGGCTGATTAAGGAGAGCGAGAAACACGCAGAAATCCTCAGGCCATCGAGCCTAAAGAGCGGTTCTCTGGACAAAGCGCGCCCCTCTCACTCCGCAAGACACAAGGAGCGCGCGCAGCCGAGCGGTAGCGCGGACTCCGGCGGGGATGCCGGGAGCAGAGACACGGAGGCCAACGGCCCGAAAGAATGTCCCGCCGTCAGGGGAAACCCCTTCTTCAAGCTGCGCCCGGCCCTTGCTCTGAAGCCAGAGGTAGAGAAGGACATCCGGGAGGCCAAGGAGAGAGAGGAAGAGCTGCGCAGACAGAGATGCACCCTGTACGGGGAGAACGGGCCGAGGGGTGAAGACGGAGAGGGGTCAAGGTTCAAACCGACGCTCGCCACAGGTTAGTCAGAGTAGCTCACGGTAGTTTATCATATCTAATGCACTACATACGGCATATGACCACTGCAGGTTTCTATTCTTCTCCAAAATAAGTACTTTTACTTTTGAAGAACTAGTGTTGTTCTAGTTGATAATTGTATACTTTTACTTCAGTATTTTATGGACCCATTACTTATTTTTACTTCAGTAGAAGAACATCTTTCACCACTGATGATAAGAATGTGTATCTTGTGAGTGACTTGCATGCACCATAAAAGGTTCAATTGCCCATTATTTTACCAATTTTACCAAAAAAATTAGGAATATTTTAGTGATACCCAATCTGATCAGTCAGAAGACTGACAACGCTGTTGACAGATGGAAAATACCCAAATAGTCATCGGGTTATTCAGGCCATTGGAATAAATGATGTAAACAATCACATGTCAAATAAGAGTCACTTAGATCTTCATTCATCGCGGCCTTCCGTCTGAGCGCTTTAATGAACGCCTCCCCACATTAGCGTCACACAGCGTTATCCAAAGGAGTCTTATTGACAACTTTGCGTCAGCCTTGTCACAAGCAGTTAGGGGCGAACCACTCCGGTGGCGCCCGGCCGAGAATGGAGGGGCAGCCGGCCAAAGGATGTGTGGGGTTGACTTGAGGTGAAGACGATGAGGCTGCATGTGACAGCAACGCAGTATGTCCAGGGGCGACACTGGACTAAACCGAAGGAAGCAAATCATTCTTAATGTCAAATGATCTGCAGTCTGACACACAACACTGGATGAGAACGTACATGTAGGACCTGAGTACACTGTGATGTCTCCACCGACGACATTTCAGCACCATTTTGACACCACACTGAAAAATATGAGTCCAAAAAAGGGAATAATGAGGTGACATCATATCAGAGCCTTCCTCATTTCAGCATGCAAAATGTACCAACCTACAATACTCAAACTGAGGCTGTTGCAATGGATTTTTATACTTTAGCCATTTTGTACTTCGTTTGAGATGGAAGAGACCGTTGATTTTTTGGGGTTGAAAAGACAAATTATGATAATTATGCTAATGTTAATTAATTAATTAATTAATGAGTCGGTTTGAAAATGTTGTCTCGAGCTGTTTTTTTATTGTTTCCCGCCAACTGGTTTCCAAATGCAATTTCTCCCTTGGTTCCAACACTGGGGACTTAGACATTGTTTCTTCGTGTTGTTGTAAATGCAGGATTTGAGTCTGAACTAGTTTTCAATCCCGGGAAAACAGCTTAAGTTTAAGGCATTAACCAAAAAGGCTGATAGATAAAAATATCTGTACTAGTACAGAGTACCTCCACGCAGACCAGAAACTCTGCACGATGGGTGTGCTGGCCATGAACCGTTTTTAAAATATCACATTAGCCCACATATTAACGTTGTATGATGCCTCGGAATGCTAACACACAGGTTACTACCACAGGGGGTGAGCTAGTTAGCCGCTACACGTGAGAGCAGACAAGCAAATAAGGATTAGTGCGATTCAATTTGCTAAATCCTGAATGGTTTAATGGACATTTGAAGCCTGAGAGTCAAATCCCTTTATAATGTCTTGATCCTTATCTTCTGCCCTCAAGACGTCAGGAAACAATTGAGGGGAAAACTGGAACGCGTATGGCCGCCGCCCTCCAAGAAGGACCAGAAGAATTCGGAGCAGACGCAGGTGATGAGCCAGGTCTAATTACTGTAAAGAGCTTCCTGTCTTGTGTTGGCCATTGTTCAGTCGGTAAGATCTCTCTCTAAGACGCTGGCTGGAACAAAGTGGGCCAATGTGTTGTATTGTTCCCAGGTTTTGGCATCCCACAGATTGATATGCTCAGTACCAGTCAAGGGTTTAGAGACATTTCAATTTAATGAGAAAGTGTGTGGATTGGTTTGTAATTTGCTAATGCTAGTGCTTTTGCTAGTGCTAAAGCACTGATGAGTATGGCTATTAAAAAGGTGAGGTTTACATTGGGAGAGAACTTCAGGAGGAATAAAATCTGAGATACGTTACGTTATAGATAGAAAACCAGGTGTTATTTGTAGGGCTGTCTACATTAATGCTTTAATCTATGTGATTAATGTGGCGGAGATTAATGCAATGAAATATTTTAATACTTTGTTTACTTCTGGTCTTCCCTTGTACCAGAAGTAAACAAAATTGACCCTGGTAATGAAAGCGCTACAGTCAGTTAGATCGGAGAAAGCAATATGGTAGCTGAAGATGGAGAGAGCTTTTGCATTGGTAAAGTAAAACAAACAGAGGCGCTAACTGTGCCAAACCAAAGGGGGGTGAGTGGCAAACGGACCATTTAAAGCACCGTTTATGCTAAGCTAGCTACTAGGCTACTGTGTTTAAAATAACATAGAAGCAAGATACACGCTTTCTAGTCATTACTCAGGCTTTAGAAGAAAAACAAACATTTATTAACAACAACATAAATCACGATTAATCGCAATTAATGAATTACAAAATGTGCGATTAATTAGTAAACATTTTTAAATCTATTGACCACCGTAGTCATTTGTTTTACAACCGGTAGTGATTAGCACCATTTATTGTGCAACAGTTTTCAAATGTATCAAGACGTGGGAGCTAATCTCCATCTCTAAATCTGACCCGTTTTATCTCCCAGCAGGAGGCAAAGGTTCACCGGGTGGGAGGTCAGAGGGCGTCTCTGTGGCAGCGCTGGGAGTCCGGCCTGATCAACGGGAAGACGCCAAAGGAAAAAAAATGAGGTCGGCCATGTTGAATATATCCACCATCTGCAATGCTAGAGCTGCTCCAGTCCAAGATGGATCAATGGAACCGAGGTCCAGAAGTTAGTTCCGGCTTGTACGCTTTTTCTCTCTTCCACTGTGGCTCTGTCTCAGTGTCGACCAGCAGTTTTGATATTTTTAAAAGTCTAGGTGTATTCAGCGGGTAAATAAAGCAAAAGCGTAACACGTTAAGGGGAAGACGCCAGTCAGTTTACTGCTATCTTACCGGTTATGGATTTTTCTAATTTCTATAAACTGTCAAGTTGGAATGTAATGTCGTAATGAAGCTGTCATTTTTCTCTTTTCATAAGTTCCCGCAGCAAATCTCCATTAGATCGTTTGCATTGAGATTTGAATAAATTAGAGAAAAAAACTCTGGCTTGTAAACAAATGGCTTGTTTATTTCCATATATAAACACACTTTTTTTTGTGATTTTTGAACCAAGCAACAATGATTATCAGTAGAAAATGAACTATATTTTCCTAATTCTGGGCTGAGATTTTAAAGGGGCAGTGTGCTGATTTTACATATCACATTATACTGTACAGATGTCATCATGGTCTTTTGGGATAGGGTTTGGACTGACAAATCTATAACAGGAAGCCTGTGTTTGAACTGGAGGTGTGGAGTTTAAAAGATATGGGTGTTTATTCGGCTTGCAAAAGACACTGTCCGGGTTGCATTATGGAAAGTGTTGTTTCCCTTGTTTCGGGAACATTCGGACATTCGAGCACCGAGTCCAATATCAAAAAGGTCTCGTTGTGCACAAATGAATAGGGTAGTTCACGGATGAAGTTCAGGAAAACTTTCCCCTGTTGACCAGCGGTCATGTTTACTAGAGAGAGCTTGGTTTGTAATCCTGCACAAAGAGACCCGTACAGCTTAGCCCGTCTAAGTACCATCTGTCAGGACAAGAGGCTCTGCCGATGGAGGAGGCCTCTGCCTGGCACAGACTCACCAGTGATGATGGGCCACAGCTCCCACCGACCCACCGAGCAGCAACGGCCCCGAAGTTTCAGCCACTTTCTTTTTTCTACTGTACCAGCCCCGGGTAGACAAAAAAGGGTTAATACAAAGATGAATGGAGTTCACACATCTGTTATAGCTAAAATACACATATCTTCATAACAACTGTCGCCTTCAACTGCCAACCCCAGCCCCAACCCCACATGAATCATTCCGCTCAGTTTTCTCCATATTTCTTTCTTTTTGCTTTTGTTCTGTCTGTCCTTGCCCTATGTAAAGTGTCTTAGGGTATCTAGAGAAGCACTATATAAAGTAGTAGTATTATTAACAAGAAAGAAATTACACAAGTTTTTAAAACACAATGCATTTTTTAAGATTACACCCAGACGCTTTTTGGGCTTGTGAACTCTTATGAAAAGGTAACATAGGAGATATAGTTCTCCAGTATATTTTGATAATGTTTTGTATACCTTTAAATACAGGTCAGTTGCTTGGAACGGAGTACTTTTACACTTTTAGGATATGAGTACCTCTGATGCCACGGGTGGAGTAAAAGGCGTTGTGCAATGGGTGGAGGAGGTGTAGACTGATTGTTTGGGTCGTTGTTAATACTAATTTTACATGATCTCATCAAAGAGGCCCTGTGGGATTTTTCCATTTTTTTATGGCATTTAATATTTAAAATGAACACTCTTTCATTATTTGCATTCCGATTCCGTGAATTCAGATTTACATTTGGATACTAAACTAAATTCAAACTATTCATACACCTTGTGTGGGTGAAAAGGTTATTATACCACCAGAGGGCAGCATAGGCTCAACAACCAGGAGACAATCAACGTACTCGTCAATTGCAAGTTCAATCAGAGTGCGTAGGTGTGGACGCGGGAGGACATTGGTATTTTCATGGCGATGTGAAGAAATAAAACATTAAGACGAGTGTCAACATGTGTCGCTTTGATCCATAAATGATGCACGACACCAATTCATTCAAAAACATTCATGGTTTGTCCACGATGACGTTTAGGAGCAGTAATCCGGAGGGTAAGTGAAGCTATGTATCCTGCGCTCGTATGGTTGTTATGTAATCTTTGCAATACTTAAGATGACTCACTGCCTTCACAAGTCAGCAGCCGCACATGTATCATCGGATCTATGAACAAGACGAAGGCAAAAAAAGTGTCTTGAGGTCACATCTGCGTCATTTTCTGCAGTGGCATGTGGGTGGTCATTTAACCAGGATGTTTGGCTCTCAATCATTCAGAAGGGCTGCAGAAAAACAAGTGAGAAAATAGGGCCAACATCTCAGAGACAGCGGTGCCAAATGAAGAGCGTGCACTCAGTGCTGTCCGTGTACTTCGCCCTGCCAATACCCGCAGCTCCGTCAGAGGCATGCGGATGAAGCCATGACGTCTCTGACGTCACAGACACAGGGCTCCACTCGGCTCTGCACCGGCAGCGTCTGACGGGTGACTCATTGAACCCGTCAGATGCTGAGGAGAAACCAGGGTGGTTGTGGCAGTGAACGCACCATTGGGTCCAAGTTGAAATGTAATTAATTACAATGTAAAAAGGAATACATTATATACACATATACAGACATGTATATCTATACATATATATAGACATAAGGAGCCTTCCCGAATAACTGAAGAGAAATGAATAAATAAAACTGCGTGTAATGAGAGCATGAGGCAAGGACACAATTAACAGACGTCAGATGGCCCTGCTTAGTTCAGCCATTGTCCTCAACAAACCTTCTATTTACAGCCCCCACAGCGCTTTCTTCTGCAGAATGAAAACTCAATTGTCTAATTCGATGATCGCACATTACAACAGTGGACATCAACAAAGAATTGTGCATTAGATGATGATGAATGTTTGTTGAGGGGCTTCAATTCCTCTTTGTCTCAAAACAGGTGCTTTTCTACTTCCAGGGCTTTTGGGTAAAGCTGTTTTCTTCACATGTTGTCATCTCTTACTTTCAGAATTAGGTTTTCGGGGGAACTTGGCAATTTCCTGCATGGCTTTGGAAATGTGTGTTTAGCCAAACATCACCGTAGTTCCACAGAAGCTAAGCAGTGAAACACACTTCAGTAGAAGCGCTTAAAATATCTAAACATGTGATTTGAATCGTTGCACTCAACACTTATTATGTTAAACATCAGAAGATGTAAGTACAGGAGAGATGACTAAACGTGACCCCACTGAAAGGGGGAGCGAGGCATTGGCCATGTGACACAAAAAACGGAAACCGATTCTCGGTTTTTTAAACACAAAATGAATACTAATATATTTAGATGTAGTAGGACCACAATTATTCATTTTCTGGCCATTAAAGCATAAAACACCAAAATACAAGTAAGCGATCCCCTTCAAAGGGGTGAAGAGGAAAATGACATGAACAACTAATGAGGGCGTCAGGCCGCACGTGCCGTTAACTCAACTTTGTTATGAGTGTAACAATTGGAGGTCTCACAGACAACAGTCAAAGTTCTTTTTCCTCTGTCCCCGTCCCCGTCCCCCTTTGGCTGCCAGCTCTGAGCACCAGGGGCCGGTTCACTTCGGGTTAAGCTCTTTCGACTGTTCAAAGCGCCATTCGGCACAGTGCGCCTCTGCCTCTCATCCTATTTCAGGATTTAAAGGAATGACGGAAAATTCTGCTCGACTTTCCAGGAAGTCTTCTCAACCCAGCGCGTGGAACGCCGCTGGGATTAAGGACGCCGCCCACATTTCATAAAAAGATCGAGACAAACCCAAAAAAGGAAAGCCTGCCCATGAGAGCGGCAGTGACTTTATGCTGCGGTGGGAATCACATCTGCAACCAATATGTCTGAGATCTTCAAGATAATCCGGCATTATTATTCTGTGGCCAGCCAGGCAACAGCCTCTTGTCACCTGTGACTGTTCCCAGTTGTTCTGTCTTTTGGGGTGTACTGCCACCCACCCATGTTTTTGCCTTGCATCCTGCGTCTCACACTGTCACACTGGCGTTAGAGCCACGTTGTGACAGTTTGGACGGTTTTAACCTGGGACCGCTGTCAGGAACGAGTAGGTGGAGGCAGGACTCAAACGCAGAGTTCAAACAGAAAATTATGTTAATACTCAAAATTCAAAAAAAGCAAAAACGCAGACAGGAAGCATGGGGAGGCAAGACACTGAGGGTTTGACATCCAGGGATGACAGACAACATTCAGGGTTGAACAATCAATGACGAGACCAAGGTGCAGGTAATTGGACGCAGGTGGAGACAATCATGGACACGGCAGACAATCACGGGGGATGACAGGACAAGGCAGGAAGTGAAGTTAACCCAGGAGCACTAGAGGCATGAAACTACAAAATAAAACAAGACGTAAACCCAAACCGTGACAACCGGTCTATCAAGAGCATAAATTAGGCTTTAATCTTTAATCTTACGACTCTAATACATGTATGAATGGTCCGTTTAATATTCAGGTATACAATCGCTCTCTAGCTGCACTGAAACTGCTCGACAATCCTTACCAGCAGGATCATCGTGCATCTATACTGGATTTGAAAATGGGGACACGGTGAGCTCCTCCGGTCAAAAAGTGGATCTCAGGAAAGCCTGACGGTAGTTGGTCTTTGGAGCATTAGAGCCGCCGATGCTACTGCCAGAGATTAAACGTTCCTTTATAAAGACAGCGAGGTGTAGCAGCTCAGGTAGAGAGAAGACTTTTGTGAACAACATGCAGAAAGAAGGAACCGGCCACCAGGTGGAATAAACCAGTTACATTGTTTTAAAAGATTTCTGTGTGTAAGTGTTTGCTTCTCTTTTAAGACACCCGAGTCCCAACAACAGGACTGCGCTTCAAGCAGTTTCATTGGTCGATTCAACTTCTGTCACAAGGCGGCTTCGGCACAGAAGCTGACGGCCTTAAAACGCTGACAAAAAATTGTCAAACCTAAAAATTCACCTCCAAAGTTATAAAATGCCCATATTTATGGATTTTTGTAAGCTTGACATTTGCTAGAACTCAAAGCCCCACAAGACACCAAACACAGAGCTCTGGACTAGCAGCTAATGGTGCCGATCAGGTTCTGAGAGCACTAATAGCGTCTCCATTTACTTCCCTTTAGTGTTCCTCAAACTGTGAACCAACGTATTACTTGGGAACATTATGCAACATTGCGAAATTGTTTGAAACTAGCAGAGTACATCTGCAGTACCACACTTTCACAATGTTGCATAATGTAGCAGGATGTACCGGGCCGTAAAGCGTTCCCGTAACATGACCTTTGTCACCTTTATCCATAGAGTCCAGAAGGCAGCGTCCTCGAAGGGACATTTTATTCCCACCTTTTTCACTTGTCTTTTGAAGCGATACAGAGCGTTTATTCTCCTCTTTTGCCGTCATTCATAGTTTGTAATTGTCAGTATAAAACTGGATCACTTTAAGTAAAGTCTTGCTTATCCCAGAGGTTTGTCGGCTTAGTCTCCTTCAGGTAACACATCCTCTCCCATGGGATCGGCTGACCGCAGTAATTCATTTGATACAAATCTGAATAACAACCCCGAGGTTAAAACGTTGCTGTTCCTCCTGATGTGATTTACTAATGTTCGTTGTCTCAGATAGAGTTCGATGTGGCGCTGGTGTATTTCTGGGTGTTGCGTGTGACGTCAGGGTTCAAACGCGACGGCATTTCACCAGTTAGCGTATATTCACACCTGTTTGCATCCCTGCAGAAAAAAGTGAATCTTCTGCCACAGCCAGGATCACAAAAAGAAGACAAACAACATCTAGACGCCTCTAACGTTGCATGAGTGCCTTGGATGTAATGTGTGACACGGCTTAAAGGGCACTGCACCGGGAAGCAAAGGCTTTCAGACAGTGCCGAGAGAGATTATTGACCCTCTGGCAGCGCTCGGCCCCGGGTGACCCGGAGCGCCCGGGACGTCGCCGCGCTGGAACGAGCCGGGCGGAAACTGGGCCATCTATATCGGCCTCACCCTGCGCTTACGAACAGATTACACAACCACACGGCGCCTTTTACATAACCGCGCTCTCCTCCTCTCTATACGCCCTTTGTTTTCTACTTGAATTATTCAGAGCCCGGAATCCATCCGGTGCCGCCTGCCCTCCTGACATCAACTCAAACGTGTTACGACAGCGAAGGAGCTCCTCGCGCCCGGTTCTCCGCTAGGAGCCGCAGCTCGTTACGACAGCGATGGGACTCAGCGCCTGAGCGAGACGGTCGGGGGTGCTAACGGGTTTAAAGCAGCGGCGACTGGAGGGAAAGTCTTTCATTGAGTTGTCGTGCAGTTGACAAACAAGCAGGGAGGCCAGATCTCCTCTTCAATCTTTGAGGGGCAGTTTTATGAACTTAATCATAAACTATGTAAGAAGTGTCATAGACTTCCGTCATTAGTTAGTGGCGTTTTGGCTGCTGCCACGTTGCCTTCGTGCAACCAGAAGGCACATGGGCGAGTGCAGCGAAGCACCAACCAGCTAATAATGACATTTTTAATAAAAATCACACTGACAAAAGTTTTCAGAAGAAAACGCAGACGACTCCGTTGTAGCAACCTACCGATCACACATATCCTGCTTTTAATGGTTTATTTGACTTTAAATAGACCATGATTTACTAAATGAACTAACTTACTAATTTTCTCAAGGACGTGTATACAATCAGACTCCTTCTATACAACTAGAGGAGTCGACCCCTAAAGGACATTACGTAATAGCAAGTTTAAGGTACTTCTGCCTTGGCTTCACTTCTACACAAGAGGCCGTTGACTGAGACGTGCTGTCAAAATGGGGTCTTCCGTCTCCTTATTGGATGATGGGATGTCTCTGGACTGCTTACATTATATGTCTTGTCTTTGTATTTGTATTGTATTTGAGAAACTGTGTGTGTTTTCTTCTGTCAAGAGGAGCTTCCCGAAAACAAATCTTGATAACTGAGGAGGATCTTGTT